TACGGGATTCGAACCACTGACCTCTGCAATACTAGTGAAGCGCTCTACTAATTGAGCTAACAAGCCAACTGGGAGCAGGCCGTTAAGTTGATTCGTAATAAACCCGTGAAGATAAATCAGATACAATGAATATATGAAGTTCATATATTCATATCAAGGATCTACATTGGATGTAGCAGTCTCGACTCCTAAATTTGCCCTTCTGAAACATCGACTTCCTAGTGTCGACCATATATAGAGTCAACGTTATCCAATTAGGATTGTCTCGTCTAGGGGAGATTTAAGTGCGAATTCCTTTTAAAAACCTTGGGTTGGCCGCTTTCTCCACAAGACAGAGCCCTCTTATTTTCACAAGGAGGTCTGAATTGATCCGTGACACGGACATCATCTATACTAAAAGACTTGAACAACACAGTGTGTTTTCATGAGTAATCCAGAAATATTAAACAGTTACTCTCCGAAATAAAGGTGAATAGGGGTGGGTATGTAACGAGGCAAAGGGGTAAGGTAATTATCCACCACTTTCACCGACACTGAAGTAGTCAATTATTTACGTATATACGAGAAGACGGTGAATGGTACTTGCTAATCACTTACCGACGAGCGCGTGGTGTAGTTTATACTAAACGCTGATTTCAGGGTATTTATGATCCTTATTATCCCCTGCAGGAGGAGTAGTGATGTGTTGGCCAATTGGCCCACATGTGGAGCTAATCTTTATGGTGCTCCTATGCTTAACATAGAGTGTAAGACATCGACTTACTAGTTTAGGGTTTTCTCTGAGGTACTGGACCAGTATTTGTCTTAATTCGTCATGCTTGATTTTGATTCTCATAGCAATTTCCAGTTGATCTGACAAAGCATAGAACATGCAATTTCCTGATCCTTCATTGTCAACAATTCTGAAGCCATTGTCTGAAGCAATTTTGTTCAACTCAATTCTTAGGTCTTTCTTGTCTGTCTTGTCATTGACTTTGCTTGCATCGAGTTGCATCTGCTGAAGGTGAGCAATTAACTCAACATAACCTAAGTGAACAAACGGATGAATGAACAGAAGATCATAAATACCACCCTACCCGTGATTTAAGGAGGACCAAAACAGAAGATACTATATTATAAATACTTTTTCTCAAAGTTTCTACAAGTTCTTAATTATAATTTTCTTTGAGATATAGAGTGAATTTATAGAAAAGGAAGTAAAAAGGAATCCTCAACAGCCAAAAGAGCCTTCAATTTAAGAAAGAAAACGAAAAACTTTTACATCCTCATTTGAAGTACGTCAGCTTAGTTTTCAAGTAAATTGGGGTAAAAATGGCCAATATTACTTAAAATAAGTGGATAACTCTCCGTAATTCACCCAGATCAGAAATTCAGAGAAACGAAATGTTGTTATACACTATTAGCGTTTGAACACAGCTCCTGTGTCCATTTCAGTGCGTCTCCCTCGTTCTAAACATCATTGAGAGGTAGTCTCTTTAAAAGCGGTGAAATGCATTTCGGTAACTTTCCGCTTACATTTGGTTCGTGGTTCAGTTTGAAGACTTATATCTAAACAAAGATCTCTTGAAGTAATTACAGCCTCCCTTTCAACGAAATGGGTATAAAGAAACCCCGAGATACGCTTTGTAAACAATTACTATCAGGAGGTGTTCACTATTCTTTGGAGTTATATCGCTACTGTGAGAGCAATGCAACAATTTTAGGACTGCAATCCTCTACTGTGAGACAGCAACTTGGAAAGTGAGAGGATATTATATTGAAAAAGCTGCAGTTTGGATGTGAAATGCGAAACAATCGTGTGGATGTGTACATTTTCGACTAACTTACGGCACTGTCAAATCAGCACATTTTATCCAACTTGAAAAGTTAATGAAATCGCACTGAATCATTTCCCCAAAAAATCCTTTGGAGGTTGAAAAGAACTACACTTTGCCTTCCAAAACTCAGTCTTTCAGTCGATAATTTTATCTACCACATAGTTAAATAGTTGATCACTTCTGACCTATTTTTATTCAAGCTAGATGAAGGTCGGATAAATTCAATTAGATTGAGTTTACAAAAACTTTACACGAATAGCTGCCAACATATGTTTTCATGTTGTTTTTCAAGATTTGGTACTTTTCATCGGTCCAAGTGTTTTCACTTCGTGGTGCGACGTTCCGAGATCTGTCTAAAACATTTTGAGCTTCTAAAGAAGCAATTTGTGGAATCCAGTTATCATCGATTTTCTCGAAAATAAATTGATATTCAGCGAAACGAAGTATGCAGGGGTTTTTTCATTGTAAGGCCCATCTGACTTGACTTGAGCCGAATCGATTTTTTTAGCTGTTGCCACGATGTTTCGAAAGTATTCAATTTTTGGCCACATTTGCTCTTAAGTTGCTTGAAGTGGTAAAATCCCCGAGTTTCGCAACGAAAGACAATTACTGCTTTTGTTAAACTAAACTCAGTTCAATTACCACACTGGCAATGATCGACAAGTTGGTCACGGTTTTGTTTATTTAATCGATTTTGACACGGTTGTACCCGGGACAAGTTTTGTCGGCAGTGCGTTTGAAAATTTGTCCGCTTCGGCCAAAATTTCTCAAGTCGCGACAAACCAAATGCGATTCTTCGTCCTCCCCCACCATAATAGCAGTTCACAAGGAGCCAACTCGACGTCCGCCGACAACCTGGAGACGGAGTTTTTTCCCCTTAAAACTATGCCTTTCTCTGTTTTCCCTGACGAAATGAAGAATATCTAGTCCGAAATCAAAGCCTTTCGTGAAAAACTTGTTGAACCTCATCGGTTCAAAGAAATCGAAAAGGAAAGGAATGGTAATCAGGAAATTCACACCCTACAACAAAAGAATCAGCTCAGAGAGCAAAACAACATGCTTAAAAATATCTCCGAGGAGAGAGATTCTTACAGAACCGCTCTTCAAATCATGACGAAAGAAATAAATGCTCCCTAAGAGAGTGATCTTCCTTCACAACCTGGCTCTACTGACCCTGACGCTGAACAAGGAGGTTGGACAACTCAACAAAACACGCGGCATAACAGAAGACACTCGAGGAGCACCAAGTTGTCATCAAATTCAGAGGATTCACATTCCGGTGCTAAAAACAACAACAAGCATGTAGGAAAACCAGTAACCGTTATTGCAGGTGATTCGATAATCTAACATATTTGTGGCTGGAGCATTTCTAGAAGCAAGAAGGTGATCGTCAAGTCAGTCTTTTCCAGGAGCAAACATTGAAGATATGGAAGATTTTTTTAAACCTCTTCTAAGAAAGAAACCTGATGATGTTGTCCTTCATATCGGAACAAACGACCTAAATACCCAGGAACCTAGACTTACCACGGAAAGTATTGTCAGCTTGGCTCTTCAAATTGAAGGTGACGCACCAGAAACTAATTTGGCAATATCGGGATTGATCACGATAGCAGATGATAAAGACGGAAAAGTCTCAAGTGTGAACAAAATCCTCAAGAAATTCTGCCGACAGAATCACTGGAATTTTATCGAACATAACAGCATTAATCAAACTCACTTAAATCGGGGCGGATTACATCTGTCTAAGTCCGGATCTGTTCTTCTAGCACAGAATTTTTGTAAACATATACATTAGGTTTTTGCCGTTTGGGAGCCCGTTCAGATTCCTGATTCTCCGAAATCTACAGTTAATAATGATAATATTAATAATAATAAAACCTTTATTTAGACACGATTATGTTTAAAGCTGAACAGCTTGTGGGGTCGTGTGTAAATCCAAATAAACTCTGAATTAGATAAATTCAAATGATGATGGTTTTTGAGTAGAGGGGAAAACGCGAGTACCCGGAGAAAAACCTCTCGGAGCAGAGTAGAGAACCAACAAACTCAATCCACTTATGACGCCGGGTCCGGGAATCGAACCCGAGGCACATTGGTGGGAGGTGAACGCTCTCTCCAGATTCCCTGGATTTCGGTCAAGCTTCACAAAACACCTACGGAAAGTCAGTTTTTGGACGTGGTTTGGTCATGGCATGTTTAAATATAAATAATTTAGTGTCTCACATGTATGATTTACGTATCTTTATGAGTCAGTCCAAGGGAGTTGATATTTTAGCCATAAATGAAACGAAACTCGACTCAACCATCAAAGACAATGAAGTGCATTTACCTGGTTATGACGTGGTTCGCAAGGACCGTGAAAATAACGGCAGACATGGTGGTGGTGTCTGTATTTACGTACGAAGTAACATCAAATTTCAAATCTGTGGCGACCTAAGTTCGAGTGATATTGAATGCCTTATCATTGAGGTCTCGAGACCCTGATCAAAACTGTTCCTGGTGTATACTTGGTACAGACCCCCAAAGTTATCTCCTGACCTCTTCACGGTCTTTGAGAGGGTTGTTGATAAGATTGATGCTGAGAATTTGGAATTATATCTGCTGGGTGACCTAAATTGTGATTTATTTCCAGATAGTGTTACTGAGTAACTCTTCCCACCTATTGAACATTATGGATATCTATGGTCTGACTCATATGATCACTGTAACTACTCGAGTAACGCAATACTCGCGTACCTTCATCGATTTATGCTCAACCAATTCTCCAGATAAAATATCTAATTCAGGTGTTGTTGACATTGGTATCAGCGACCACTGTGCCATTTTCCTGACACGCAAAATTTCACATTTCCGCTCTTTTGTTCATAACACAGCTGAAGTGAGACAGCTCAAGAATTTTAACGAAGACGAATTTTTATTTGATCTTCGTACGATTGAATGGAACTCCGTTCCCATGCTCAATAACCCAAATGAAATGTGGAACGCTCGGAATCACCTTCTGATGGGTGTTATTGATAAGCACGCACCATTGAAAACAAAAAGAATTAGAAATAATAGATCTCCATGGATTACAAGTGAGTTGCTACGTGAAATTTACAAAAGAGATTTTCTAAAACAGAAAGGTACATCAACAAATGACCCCTGATTTTGAAAGAATTCAAAGACGCAAGAAACAAGGTAAATAACTCAATTAAAAGAGCCAAACGCAAATATTTTTCGGAGAAGCTGGACGCAAGTAAATGCGATCCATGTAAAACATGGCGGTTAATCAATGAACTTCAATGTACGTCACCAATGCAAATCTACTAAAGTCTCTCAGATTCAATCAGGGCATCAAGTCTTTACTTCACCTGAAGACATGGCAGAGGCGTTTAACAACCATTTTACTAGTATTGGTCAGACTCTAGCCTGTTAAATTGCAACTGTAGACATTGATCCACTTGACAATGTGAAATATGATTTATTAACTAGTTGCCAGTCTGGGTTTCGCCCCCTACATAGTACGCTCATTGCCCTGTTGGAGACGAGCAACAGTTGGTGTGTCAATGTTGACAAAAGTCTACTCAATGGTGTAATTTTCATTGATTTAAAGAAAGCCTTTGACACTATAGATCACGAAATCATTTTGCAAAAACGTGCGAAATATGGGAGGGGGGGGATCAAGATGCACTGAAACGGTTGAAGTCTTACCTAACAAATCGTCTACAACGATGCAATGTAAACAATCACCTTTCCAGTGCAAGCTCTCTAAATTGTGGAGTTCCACACGGATGAATAAATGGTCCTTTACTTTTCTTGATCTATATAAATGACTTACCAAATTGCTTGAGCCTAGGCTCTCCTAGAATGTACGCTGATGACACGAATGTCACCTTTGCTGCATCTGACATGCATGGTCTTGAGACCCAAATCAATACTGAACTGAGAAGCATTAATCTCTGGCTCAGAGCAAACAAGTTAAGCCTCAATGTGGCAAAAAAATATGTTCATCGTCATTAGCTCGCGTCAAAAATAAATTGCAGTATTTAAATGACAAGGCAATAAATGTTCATGTAGAGGGCGTCAAAATAAACCAAGCAGCTCATTGCAAAGCTCTCAGACTGAACATAAATGAAAACCTATCCTGGAAGGAGCACATACACGCATCTCAAAAAAAGTCTCTTCCAGTATCGGTGCACTGAAGCGAATTAGACCTTTTGTTTCAATGCA